GGTTATGTACAAGAAAAGAATGCTGTTTGTCTGTATTTTACGTAATAAAAAATCAAAAAATGATTTGCGACACGTTTAAAAAAAGCGGTCTAGAGTCAGTTGTTTTGGAGGAAAATTCACTCGCAAGTGCTCTTTGATAACTCGTCGAATTTTGTGAAATCTGATGCCTGTAGACCGCGTTGCGCACGCAGGGAGATGAGATTCTCACTCTATCCTGTTGGCAAACTGGGCTTTCCAATAACTGTTGTATGGAGTTACTATGGTATTACTGCGAGTTCAGATCATCGAGGGACATCAGGGAACACATATAAATTATCAAAGCGTTCCTTGAAAAACTGTAGGGCCCTCGCCACCTCGAATGATTGCCGAAGGTTATACCACTCTTCTGTTGGCCGTTGCTTGAAGAATTCAGAGCAGAGGTTAAGTCTAGACATGCTTGTCTGCAGCTTCATTGGTTTCGTGTCCATTGCTACTCGTAGCCATGAAACGATCTACAACCTATCTACCAACTATTCTCAGAGGTATGTCCTTGAATCTGCCAAGCAACTTCGCTGGCCGTACACTATGGTCTGATTCGTGAAGTGAATACCGGTCATTTGTGGTACGCCCATTGAGAGGCTATTTGAGTTTTTTCGACGGTGCTCTCGCTGCCAGTCCCTCGCGCACGATACCGTCAGGAGCAGAGAGGAGAGGTCGTAGGTGAGGAGGAAGACTAGTCTGCCTCGCTGCAAACTAATTCATGCGCAAGTTGCTGGTCCTGCCGCATCAACTCCAGGTTGATATCGTCATATGCGCTGCAAGTGAGAGAATCAGTCAGTCAGTCAGTATATTGGAGGGAAAAATAGGCTTGCGCCTTGAACTCCCCATTTGTCACATCAAAATCTCAAGAGTTATAAACAATGTTAACAAGTTTTCAGTCAGGACAATATAGACCGTCACATGGTGCAGTGGTGTTTCAAGGTTAATTTGTCAATAAGTTCACGGAGTGCTGTAGCATGTGTATATCAAGTCAGTGTTTGAATGTTTCCACAGATTTGGACAGAACAATCGCCTCGGGAAGGTTATTCCATTGACGCTGCTCAAATTTTAATTTGTGTGGGCGGGCAGTGGCGGCGACGGCAATAAGAGGGAAGCGGGAGCTCGATAAACCTATTGATCGATTCCCGGCACAATTGTCATGCCCAATACAAGCGAACATGCGAGACCCATGAAGTAATTAAGAAGAAGACGACTCGGTCGCTGGGACAATGTGGATACGGATACAGTAAGAACCCGTGTCTGCTACTGCGTTCTGATTACATCTCTGGGGACGAATCTGCGACGGATCTCGAAACGTCAGCCGAATAAAAGTATTGTCCCAGCGATCGCGTCGTCTTCTTTTCATGCACAAGTTACCTCTTGCGCAGTTTTCCATTGTAAATCCGGAAGTTTGGAAAATTTGTAATTCGGTTTTCTGTATGGTGATATACAGGTCTTATTCGCTGCTACAATCATTTTTACAGGAAGTCTTCCCTATTTCAGAATTTGCTTCAGGACCCATTCAGTAAATGGCGTTGGCGGCCACTTAGTGCACCTGACAGGCTCCTCGATATCTGCAACGCCGGTGTGATTAACGTTACTGTACCAAGTAGCCAAAAGTGAATTATTTAATAACTCTATTCTCATTTTTCGCTTTCCTCTTAACCTTGTGTCATGAATGATCTTTTATCTATCTTCTATGTGGAAAGCCTTTTGTCAGTGTTTAGAAAGATCCTTGCCTGTCGACGTGTTTGTCTTTTTCCGCCTCTTTTAAAACATGATCATCTTTGCCCCATAGCTCCTGAAGCATAACCTGACAACTCGAGCGCCCAATCCGACGCGGTGCGCCGTATGCATCATTGCAAATTGGCGCAGGGACGGGGACTTGCGAGTGGATTAGATTACAGTGAGGGCAGACTTGTACCATGTCTATCGCACTCTCTCCCCTTCCCTCGCCTGGGCCCCATATCATAACCAAGTCAAGAAGGCGGAAGCTGGAGCATGTGACTGACGCGGCCAGAGACGCTCCTACGCGTGCCCACATAGCTGACTCGGATCCTCCGGAGTGGCCGTTCCATAGAGAACACACTACGAAGGAATCATTGTAGTCCGACTCTCAGTCACACACACATTTGGCTTACTGCAACTGTCAGCGGGTAACATTCCGAATCGCGCAGCGTAGCAAACCGTGATAGTCTCAGATTTATACCAGACAGGAGCTACGTGGACAAGATCCGAAAATCGTACTTGACTGGTGCTGATTGAGATGTGCTGCTTGGAAAAAAATGTTTTCTTCGGTGTGATCGAATGTGATGCATGAGGTTAGTGAGGAGAAGGGAGGAGATGTGGTCAAGCCTGTGGTGGATTACAGCAGGTTTTCCTGGAGGTGCGTGGACGTTGCAGGCAGTTTGGGTGAGTAGTGTAGGTCTATGATGGTGTATGTTGGCTTACAAGTACCTGCACAATATGGTTGCAAATGACCGACCAAGCCGAGGTCTAATGTGCATCTACGCTTTCCATGAGGACAGGAGGCTCTGGTTGCTGTCGCTGTAGTCCCTCGTG